TTTTTTTTTTTTACTTTTGTATTGTTCATTTTAGTTGTTATGCATCTGTTGATTATTTTAAACCCCTCTATGTATAGCACTTTTAAGTGTGTATGAAATGTGCTATATAAACTTGCTTTACCCAAGTAAATGATCTATTAAATACAAGTTTTAACCAAATGAATGACTTCACCAAAAAATGTATGTTATACTACGCTGAGAAAATAAAAAGATATCATTCATGTCGTTCAATTGATATGGTTAACATTAACATTAATTATTTTGAATTAGCTTTCATTTATATATATATATGTATATCACTTTTTTATTACATTTTTGTCATGTTTGGTCATACGTTATTCGTTTTGTTTTTTAAATATCTATAGTTTTAACATTTTTTTCTCAATTTTAGTTTTCGTTCATTTAGAGCTTCAGCTTAAACTAAATGAAAATGATAAACATTGCTTTGGCAACTTTTTATATTTTATTTTAATTATAGATTTTTTCAAGGTATAAGTTAATTATAATATGATTGATAACAAATAAATTATAATACACAATACATTAAACCAATAGCTGAAGGAAGGGTTTATTTAATGTGCAGAAGTACATGTACAAAGAACATTAGAGAAGACCAGGACTATCGGTCTTTGGGTGGATTTGGCTTTCTGCGTCTGGAGTGATACCTGTAGTGAAAACACAAACACAGACCAGTTCATTCAACTGAACCGAGGCAGAATGTGTTGTTTTTGTCCAGTAGAGAATGCAAACTCACTGTCCGACGGGGTACCAGCGGTGTTTGGTGGTGTAAAACATCTTACTGAGCTCCTCGATGGTTGGGGCCTGTTTGTTATTTAAAACCTCTTTACCGAGTCTGGCTTTGAGCACCTGCTCGTGCGTCTCTGCATGATCACTGACGACATCCGGCCTGACGATCGGCTACAGCAAACAAAGTGTCCATGTTTCTCAGTCTTCTGCGAGTCGATGATTCAGTCTCAGATTATGCCTGTGGTTATGAGACGTCCATGACCCCGCCGGACGCTCCGGATACTGTATTCGCCACCAAACGTTCCCGGCTGCTGAAAGCCTCCGCGACTGGAGATACGACAGATTACAGTTAACAACAAACACACACACACACACACACACACACACGCTTGAGATTCACACCTGCAGCGACGTCGCTGATGTCCCAGACGCGCAGCCCATCCCTCTGTCCTCCAAACGCACAGACGAACGGCAGATCTGGACAACAGGAGCCGCAGAACACAACGCCCTGACAGAGAGACAGAGGTGCGTTATAAAGCCGTGTTCACTGGTCAGACGCTCGTGTGTCAGACACGCACCATCTTCATGTCTCTGGAGTGGATCAGGGTGGGTTTGTCTCCCAGGACGTCCCAGATCTTCACGTGTTTGTCTGCTGAAGACGTGACCAGACAGCCGCGGATCTGACTGCTCAGATCCATCCCTGAGAAAACATCACAACGGTTAGTGTTATTTTATTATTATTATTGATACACTATTATAGTTTTTATTAATATTATTACAGAATAATTAATATGTTGTTTTCATTTTAAGTTTTGGTCATTTTTTGTGTGCTTTTGTCATTTCTATTAGTTTTTAATTTTGTCTGTTTTTAATTTTTAGTTATTTTAGTACATCAACTAAAATCAAATGATAATTTGAAAAAAAAAAAAAAAATTCCTTCAAAAAAGTTGTTATTTTACTATCAGATATATTAGTAGGTAACACTATTTTAAGGTGTCCTTGTTACACGTTACATGTTCTTACTATTATAATAACAATAATTTATGCATAATTACATTCAAGTCACCCTAAACCAAACCCTAACCATATAGGAAGTACACGTAGTTCATTAATATTACTCTGTCCTTAAATGTAGAATTACACTGTAACCTTAGAATAAAGTGTAAACCATTATTACATATATGTTTTATAATTGACAGATAATTTAAATAAAATAAGCATTTTTAAATGTTTTATTTTACTTTAAGTAATGAAAACGTTTTATTGATGTAGTTTTATTAACTATAATAACCCTGATCTGAGACTATTTTAGGAGTTATTTTAGTATGTAATTGATATACTATTATAGTTTGTAATCAATATTTGAAATAGTTTTTATATTTCCTGTTTTCATTTCAATTTTACTTAATGTTTTATTAATTTTGCTGTGTTTTCCCTCATTTGTTTTATTATTTTTTTATATAGGTTTACATGTTTGTTTTTTCAGTTTTAGTCATTTTATTTCAAGTTTAACTAATCAAAAATGAGAAATGTTGCCTTGGAAACTAACTGAATTCAAATATATACATATTTTTATTATTATAAAATTTTTAATTAAAATGTATTTTATTTCAAGTAACTTTTTATGGTATTAGATTTATTTAAACAAAGATGGCGTTATTTTAGTATCACTGATATACTATTATAGTTTTAATAAAAAAAAATATTTTAATTTTATTATTAATTGTTTTATTACAGTTTTATTAAGTTTTTTATTTTAAGTAAAATTTTAGCAATTTTGTTTAGCATTTTTTGTTTTTTTTATATGAATGTATGTTTGAAATTTGTCTACATGGTTTTTAATTTGTATTTTAATAGATATAGTTTTGAGTTATTTTAGTACTTGAAGTTGTACTTGAACTAAAAAATGAGAAATGTTGCCTTGGCAACTAACTGAAATAAAATTAGCTGAATTTTTTTTTCTGTTTTATTTTACTTCAAGTAATGAATATGTGCGAGTGCGACTGACCTGAAACTTCTCCATCGTGAGCTCGGAGCGTGAACACAGGTTTATCTGAACGAGCGTCCAGGCAATAAACGAAGCCGTCCTCTGTACTCGCCTGCAACACACATCACTGATTACTCACAGCACCGCTCAGAGTTCAGAGTAAATCCCCCACGGCTCGGCCGCTCACCAGGAAGTGGCACGGAGAGAAATGATCCCAAACGACGCGCTCCACCTGTCCGCTGAAGCGCCAGATCCGATGGCTGTCGTCTGGACTGCGGCAGTCGTACAGGATCACAGACCTGCGACACACAACACTCTGATTGGTCAGCCTCAGTCGTGCTGCGCTCTGATTAGTCAAGTTGTTTTCTACATCATGACCTACTTGTCATATGATCCGCTGATGAGAGTTTGAGCCTCAAACGGGTGGAAATTCAGCGTCTGAACCTGCGATAGGAAATCAGATCGAAATTTATTAAGCAACTCCCTTTCAAAAAATCTTTAAAAGATTTATCGAAGTTTCCAAAAAATATATGAAGTGTTTTCAACATTGACAATAATCAGAAATGTTTCTTGAGCAGCGAATCGGCATATTAGAATGATTTCTGAAGGATCATGTGACGCTGAAGACTGGAGGAATGATGCTGAAAATACAGCTTTGATCACAAGAATGAATTACATTTGACTATATATTCACATAGAAAACACTTATTTGAATTTGTAAAAATATTTCACAATTTTTCTGTATTTCTGATCAAATAAACACAGCCCTTGGTAAGCAGAAGAGCCTTCTTTCAATCCGTACCTTATCTGTGTGTTTTGTGAGGGTCGCTGCTGGTTTTCCCTTCTCCATATCCCACAGGATCACCGACTCATCCGCAGACGCGCTCGCCAGAACATTCCTGCACCAGAAACACTCATCAGACTCTGACGAATGAAGGCATGAAGGGAAACATCTGCTCTTCAGAAACGCTCGGCGGTCTCACCTGACCAGTCTGTTCCAGGACAGATCCAGCACAGCATCCGTGTGTCCGTCGACGGCTTCAGCCGCCTTCAAAACACAAACACATTACACTTCTGAACCAAGAAATCACTCAAACATCTACCATCATGACCCTTACAGTGCAGCATTCAACACCACAAAATACTAAAATTGAGGTTGAGCCATTTAAGCGACTTGAGTACAAGCACCTTCTTCTTCTTCTTCTTCTTCTTGCTGCCGAGTGAGAAGGCTGGCTCCAAACAGTCCACTACATCCAGATCCCAGACGTCAATCACAGGCGTCATGCTCCCTACAGCCGCGTAATTCCCTGCAGCACAGCACAGCAACAAACCCTGCATCAAAGTCAGAAATGCTGCCTTTGCAGCTCACTGAAATAAAATAAGATTACGGTTTTTCAGTCTTTTATTTTAGTGTTTATTTTATTTAAAGCAAATTTTTTTTGTGTGGTTTTAGTTTTAATTAAGCAACACTAATAACAATATGAAATCACAAGAACAAATGAAAAAAAAAATTAAAAATCTCAAATTTTATTAAAATTGAAAGAAAAAAAAATACTGTAGTCAATTGATATATTGCCAAGGTTAATATATAATATTTCATTTTTCGGCATTGGTCGACAAGTCAGAAGCAGGACATTTATTCTGACAGCGCTGTCAGCACCTGAGTAGTCTCAGCCTCAGACGTCACGCCCTCGGACCGTTGGCTGAACGCCTGATGCATACGGCACATAAAAGTGGAAACACTTCAGGAGTTTCAAAGTCGTCATCGGATTGGTTGAATTATACAGGATTTCCGGTAGACGTGCGTGTCGCGTTCTTTAACGTTCCGCCTGGAAACAAAGATACGGTGGCGCCAATCTCCCTCACCAAAGAAGAAAGTGTGTGACGACGAGCTCTTATCAAGATCAACTAAAAGCTGGATTCTCAAACGTATGCGACATATTTAAAGTTCGCGGCACAGAATCTTTAAAATACGTCCGAGAGTTTTACACACCGGTCTGTTATTGTGGTGACATTTCCACGCCCCGAAACGTGCCGCTGAATGAAACGAACTGTGATTGGTTGTTTGACATGTCGGTCAAACGGCCTCATGGCCGGGCCTTGGCCAATGAAAGCTGCCATGGATTCCAGACCTTCAGCCGCTACGCGAGACTAGCACCTGAGTGCACACAGCTCCCATTCTCTGTCTTCATTCATTTACTGTCTCTGTTGGACAGTTCTGACTAATACATTATTACACATAACTTTTAAACAAAGAAAGTAAACAGTATTCAAAAAAGTATTATAGCATTTGCTTTTCTATTATTAGTAATAGATTGGAAAATGCTATAATACTTTTTTTTTATCTACTGTTAGCATTGGGTAAATATGCATTCATATCATATAAGGTATTGAACATCTAATAAAGATTTAATTTCACAAACTTTCCCATTGCACACAAATTTAGCAGATTATGGAGTGCACTGGTATTTAATTCCTTTACATGTTTTTAACTATTTCTTTATTTGCGAAAAATACTATAATAGGATTACAGAATCAAAAAGTTGCCATCTAAAGTATAAATCTTCCTATTTTACAGATTTTTTTTTTTATCAAATCCTAATAATATTTTAGAATTAATTTTCAGATTATTTATTTCTAATTTAGTAAATGTTATTTAAAATAAATATAAATTTCAGCAATTATGCATGTGTTTTTTTTCTACTGTCTTTAAAGTACTGTGATTTCATATATCTTTCCTAATACCAGCCATCTACTATCCAAGATATTGGCAGAATATCACACAAATCAATATGGGTTGATTAAGATTATTGATTATGACACAGCAGCTTCCACGCTTTGCTTTCAATTTTGAAAAGCATCTAATCCCCTTTCTTTCTGTATCCTTTAAACACTTAAGCAAATTTTCCTACTACACAAAATATTGACATAAATATCTGATGACTGAAATTCAAATGTTCACCTTGTCCTTCCTCTGGACTGGGGTCAAAGTTCAGCCACTCCACACAGAGCGGATACGCGGGCAGCAGGATGTCATGATGCACATACAGAGAGTCTTCCTGGGAGTTAAACACTGACAACACACACAAACAATCAACCAACATCAACATCCGACGAGCTCTTCAGTCCACAGCAGGGTTATATAGTATCTTATTAACACTGCTTACCGTAAACCTCCAGGTTACAGCAGTCTTTCTCGGCCCGTCCAGCTAGAATCAGGTTATCGGTGGGTTTAATCTGAAAATCCTCCCGCTCGTACTGATCCTACAGAACACACCGTGGGTCAGACGGACACAGATCCATCAGATAAACTAGAAAACATCATATTTTTCAGGTTTAGTGTGTCTCACTGTGTCTTTGATGGTGATGTATGGATCCTCTTCATTAGTGCCAAACACTGTCAGTCCTGCCAGACTGTCTCCAAGATTTGACGTTGCTGCAGAAGAGAAGAAAAAGCAAAAAGTGAGTATCTGCACCATCTTCATCATCAAATATCAATCAGGTTTCTTAAATTCCCTCTGTCTGCTACAGAGAGCAATAATCAGGTTCTGGAAGTAAAAATGCCATTTATTTTCTCCCTTGGTGAATTGATTTTTAACAATATCTTCAAAACTGTTAAACACAGCTCTACTTTGAGCTCAGAGGCTGTTAATCAATAGCATATCCTTTTGTTAAAGCCATGAGCCCACATTATTTCTACTTCTTTTTTAAATAACCATGCTTAACAGTGGAATCCCTGGTGAAAACTACATTACCCATAATGCTGTGAAGAACATTCCGCCAATCAGAGAGTCACAGCAAGCCAGAGAAGTGTTGAGCTCCGCCCACTCACATGAAGCGCAGCAATAAATGTAAAATATATTGTTTCTATATATACACAATTAACTTGAATGTATAATTTTAGATTTCTCCATCATTTTTAATTCACTGTCATTAGAAATGTTTCATGTGATTGTTGTTTTTTCCCTCAATAAAGACGTTAAGTCTGTCTTTCTGTCCGATTTTCAAAAACGTTTTTGCTTCAAATCCAACTCTGTACTATTGTGTTTCACCTGGTAGCTGGTTGTTTTGGCTTATAAAATGCAAATGAATGAAAAAAATACATACTGAACCAGCGACGCAAAAAAAAAAAGGGGCGGACACTGCTGCATTCTATTGGTCAGGCGAACAGATAGCCCCGCCCTAAACTCACCCCATTGGTTGAGAGATCAATGAGTGACTGTTACGCTTTAAAGGGGTAATATGATGCTATTTTAAAGATCATTATTTTGTGTATTTGGTGTAACAGAATATGTTGATATGCTTTAATGTTCAAAAAACATTTTTCAAATACTGTGCATTATTTTAGGTCCTCTATGCCCCGCCTCTCTCAAACGCGTCATTTTCAACAAAGCCCCCTCCTTTGACCAGCGCAGTCTGCTCTAATTGGCCAGCTGACCCAGTGCATTGTGATTGGCCGAACACCGCAAGCACTCATCGGAAATGTAACGCCCCTTACCATAATCGCGAGCGTCCGCTTTCAAAGTAAATATCAAGACAGTTAATAATGTTGTTAGTTTTACCATCAGTTCAAGCCCGAAAGGGCAACAGAGTCACGCAAAACTCCGCATTTGAACAGTCAATAGCAAATACTTAAAACTAATAACAAAACATACTTACAGTCGCTGATTCAGAAGCGCCAGATTGTCACAGCAAAGTCGGAATTGACCCTTTTTTAAATTTAGAAATAGCGTTTGTGCACTGCCAGCCTTGTACTCTTCTAGGTTAAAAAAAACTGTCATCCATAAAATGCGTTGCACAAATTCGAACATCTGGGTTGTGCTGCTCTTTTGTAAATAAATCTTAACCAATGATTCCTAAACGCATCTACTTCTGGAAGGCCAAATAAAGTGCTTTTGCTTTCGTCTAGAAACACACAGCGTCTCCCTGACATGCTGCTTCAACACTAACTGCGGTTACTGAAACCATGCCTTCTTTCTTTGCGTGAACATTTGGGTGGCATTATGCTAATATTTCCACATAGTGAGGTAGATATGTGGGGGCGTGTTAAAACAAGCCGTTTTAGGGGGGCGGGGCTGACTTAACTTTTATAAAGAATATCTCTTTGGATTTGAGACTTTTGTCTTTGCAACTTTACAGATCTTCTTTATGCACCAAGAGCTTGCAAAGAGAAAGGAAAACTTGAAATCGCATCATATGACCCCTTTAAGGTTCAAAAAATGTAAACACGTCATGAGTTGAAGCCAGATCATCAATCAATTAGGGATGACATACCGATGTCTTCTTCATCATAATTGTCCAGTCCGTACTCTGCAAGCTCATCAACCTCTTCCTCATCCTCCTCCTCTTTTATTTCTTCACTAGCAGACGCAACAGCTGCCTCTTCACTGACATCCAGGCCACTGACCACACCTTCATCAACCTCCTCCTCCTCCTCACCATCACCAGGATCCCTGGATAAATCAGACAGAAGTTTAATAAAAGTAACCTACAGACACGATCACACTAGATGGGCTGATCTCAACTGGTTTAAGACTGGCGATATTGTTGTTTTTACTGATAACCAGCTTTAAAATCTAAGGCGTTTTAACTCGTGTCTGCTATAAAACAGTAGTGAGCGATTCAAATCTCACCCTAGCTCCTCTTTAGTCTCCGATATGATGCGTTGCAGCTCTTCTTTGCTCAGCTCAACCTGTAACGATGATTTCATTCGCGTTAAAGCCCAAACACGTGTGCGATTCCACAGAAACATGATATAAACACATTAACGTGACAGACTCACTTTATCCGGCGTTTCTTTGGCGACTCCGCGCTTCACCCATCCCACACACGTTATTTGAGAGCTCATGCTTTATTCGTACAGATTTACGAAGATAAAACAACACGCGAGGATTCCTCGAGCTGCAGTCGTCACTGCGACGCGCCCTGATGACGTCACACCTGCGCGCCGAGCCACAGAAATAAAACGTGCTAGAGCCGTAAGCTGAGTAAGACCTTACGAGTCTTTAGTGTATCATAATCTAAAGTGTATCATAGGTACAGCACTTATTTGTATGTATCAAGAATGCACCTGGAGGTTGCTCCACCAGAGTTTCATTGTACATGTACAGTGACAATAAAGTTCTTACCTATTATTAATACTGCAGTTCTTCTATATAAAATGCAAACTTATTTTATTTCAGTTAGTTGATTTATCATCTTCTTCATTTAGTTTAACCTGATGTACTAAAATAACTAAAACTAAATTTTTTTATACAATTATATAAAAAATCCAGAAATTATAAAAACAAATTACTAAAATTGTAAAACATAAAATGCAAAAATAAAAACTAATTTAATGTAACACACACACACAGTTAATATCTTAATGTATAACAATGTTTACAGTGTATTTTACATTCACTGTGTTAAGTTGTAATATAGATAGATAGTAAAATAATGCATGTTTTCTGAAATGATGTAAACAGTCAATATTGTACATCATCAACCATTTATTTTTTATTTAAAAATGTTGTGGTCAATATGTGCAAATATACGTATGTATATATATATGTAAACATCGTATTGTACAAATTGGTAACAAAAAAACGGTAATATTCACATACAGAGCACGATTGAAATGTTAGCTGGACTAAAATAATATTAATAAAAAACTTAATTTATGCCATCTTATGCTTACATTATCATGTGTGACAGTACCATGGTACAATGATGTTATCCAAGGTAATACCATATTACCATAATAAACCTTAATTATAAACATCACTTTCATACAGTTATACAAATACCATGGTACATGTCCAAAAAACATGGTATTACATTTTTTGTTAGTATAGGTTATTTTAAAAAACATTAAGTGCTCTGTTTATTTTATTTATTTTCTATAAACTCCACAAAATACTTGATTTGTCAGCATAATACTTCAAATAAAAATACCTTTCATTGTTTTATACCAGATTATGCGCATTAGTTGAATAAAAAGTGGTTTGAGATCACATATCTGGTTTTGAAAATATATATATGTAACAATATGCATTGAATGGATTGTCAGAACCAAGGCTGAACATTTTTAGACTTAAAGAGCAATTTCTGAGAATATTAAACTTTGTGGTTAAAGATCCTGCTCCTGTTTTATCTGTAGCAAGTGAATCACTTCATCCAGGTACCATGAGCATATTATACAGCACTCAGCATGAGAAGTGTCTGTTAAAATGAAAATGACTATGCAAAAATTCTTGGCCGTGTTTGTTTGAGGTTTGTTGAGATGGGGTGCGGTTCAGGCATTAAGGTGAAGGACGGTAACTGATGTCGTTTCAGGTTTGACATGAGTTGGCATTTTAAGGCTTCACAGTCTCAGATTCAACTCTGATTCCTCAATCTCGTCCTGCAGATTGTCAGCGACGGGCTTCATGAGCTCCTTGAAGTGTTTGATGTTGGTTTCGTGCAGGATGACCTGCGTCAGGTAACGCTCCCGTTTGATCTGCTCCTTCAGAGCTTCCGGCACGTCTGGGATCATGTAGGACAGCATGAACTTGGTGAAATAAACAATGTGCTGCGAGGAGAAGAAAACCGCATATTTACAACAACAGAACAAACATGTTTTATTGAGTTATCATTAGTGGTATCACATCTAGTCACTTACCTCAACCACAATCATAAAAGCCAGTTTGGCAGCAATAACGTGCCAATAATGTATACTGTACTCATATTGATTAGGATGATTGGGAGGATTCCTGAAATCACGATACCTGAAACATAAGAAGAGTCAATTAATACACGAGTCATAGTTAAAAATCAACAACAACAACTGGTCTTTATATAACAATGCTGTTTTGTTTAAAAAAATAAATAAATAATAATAATTCAAAATGTTTTGTGAATTAAAAATGTATATATATATATGTATATATATATATATATATATTGGTAACACTTTACAATAATGCATTAACATTATCTTAGATTATCGAGATTTATTAATCTTTGTTAAATGTTAATTAATAAAAATGTAAATGGGATTATTCAGTAATCATACCAGTAGATGCTTTTCCACAGAACTAAAAAGATCTTTGTTAATTTTTTCCCCTGTGTAATCGGGTTGTAAAACATGTTTTGGTTTTAAGTAACCTTTCACTGAACTCAAAAACCACAGATCAATCTTTCTTGAACATCTCTTGCCACCTGCCATATTATTAGACAAGCTTTTGCTATTTTCTACGCAAATCTATCAAAGTTCGTGGGTAGTTTTTAAAAATGAAACAAACATACAGGTGTTGCAAGTCTCTTATAATACTCTCTTTTCACTTTTCTAAATACATATGCATGCTGTGTATTAAATCGTCATTCCCAAATAAACATGCAGAAGAATGCTTGCAAAAGTGGCAAGCTTATAAAAGGATAAACTGAAAGCATTTTAGTGCAGTTACAACTGGTTATGTTTTACCAGCTCACCGGCATGTGGTGATGTTGTTGAACCAGAACAGTGTGTCAACATTAGGATTGCTGTTGCCATTGAAGTCTGTAATGTTGAAGACAGACAGCGAGCTGTTGATGAAGCCCGTCATGGTGTGGTTAGATCCATCTGAATGAGGGCTGACAGAAATCGCCCAGTAGTAAACCAGCCGAGGGATCATGTCAGAGGTGAAGGCAATGATGGCAGCCTGCAGAGGAAGCACCCACAGTGAGTGAACGTGACCTAAGTTACACAAGATGCAAAAACAACGACTTCCTCTCAACCCACATTTGTGGCCACCGCTAGAATCGCCACCCCCTGCAGGATGGGCTGCCAGGCGCCGATGTCTTGGGCCTTTTCTGGAACGACCCGCCGAGACTGAGTCGTGAACTTCCAGGCGTCCACACGGATTTCACACAGGTTGTTAAACAGCGCCAGGAGAGGAGCCAACGGGAAGGACGCCACAAACAGAGTCACGAAACCAAACTGGATCACTGCAAACACACCAAAAAAAATATTAAAGGGTAGTTCACCAAAAAATGAACGTGTGTTGTTAATTTACTCCCCCTTAAGTCAAGGTGACTTTAGCATATTTTTAGGTGATTTTTTGCTAAAATCATTGTCTTTGGTGATTCATAAAATGCAAGTCAATGGCTACCAGCACTCTGAGAGTCAAAAAAGCACATACAGGCAACACAATTAATCCCTGTGACTCCTTATGATATTTTAAGGTCTTATGAAGTGAAACGATCAGTTTGTGCAAGAAACTGAACATTATTTACAGCATTATTACCTGCAATCCAGAGCCTCAGGCAAACGGTCCGGAGTGATGTCCGGTTCACAAACGAATCATTCTTTTAAACCAGTTTTTTTTTAGTGAACTGAATGAACCAGTTCTTTAAATCCGACTGAATTGTCTGAAACAGTTCGCGGCTCGAGCAGCATAGATCTACAAGTTACTCAATCTAAACTCACTTTCAGATGCCTGACAGGCACTCTAACTCGAAATGAGCCAAAATAGCAACACATCTTATCCTATAATGAATGAACTGATTCAGTGCTCCAGTTCCTCCAATAGTCACTGAACTGAGGAAACAGTTCGACTCAGACCGAAGAGTTGCTGATATGTGCATGTGTAAACCAAGCAATTTAATGAAAGGGCCAAATGAACGTTTTTATGGTTTCTCATTGTTTATGTAAAAAGGTGCGCTGATGAAGACAAGTTTATTCGCTTTATATGCTTTAGACATGCAAAACATCCACGTTTCACATCATTATTGGGTGCTTTAATAATATAATTAGTATATGTTACATGTAATTATGTAAACAAACTGATGAATCAGTTATTTGAACCAGATCATTGAAACGAACTGTCCAAAAGAACCAGAATCAGATTTCCCTGTTTGTCTGAGGTTTTGGATTACAGGTAATAATGTTGTAAATAATGTTCAGTTTCTTGCACACAATAATCATTTCTCTTCATAAGACCTCAATATATCATCAGGAGCTATGGGCATTCATTTTGTTTTGCCTGTATTTGCTTTTTCAAAGTGCCGGTAGCCATTGACTTACATTTTATGAATCACCAAGGACCACAGTTTCAGCTAGAAATCTTCTTTACTATTGTACTGAAGAAAAAAAGTCACCTACATCTTGGATGGCTTGAGGGTGAGAAAATTAACAGCAAATTTTCAATTTGGCATTAACTATAATTTTCAGACAAATGTGTTAATATACAGCAGCATCTCATGGTTCAGGTGTGTGTAAAGTCTCACCCATCTCCAGATATTCATAAAACAAGCCGAGCTTTCCTATCGGCTGGAGTTGATAGTCCTGTTCCCAGCGAGGAATCACTTTTTCTGAACCCACCTGGGTGCAATGACGAAATATCAGATTCTTCACCCACCTAGAAACACCACTGGTTATTAATCGCTGCGGTTTTAAGTCTGTTACTAATCAGTGGCAGTGATGTTTTGGAATCATTGAGATATTATAATAGCTTTTATTAATATTTTAAATTCATTTTGATTTTAGTTCAAGTTTAATAATTTTGTTGTCGTTTTGTTTATAGGTTTTCATGTTTTAGTTAATTCAGTTTAAAACATTTATATAATTTTAAATAAACTATAATAACCTTGATCAGTGCTGATGTTTAACTAATAATAACAACAAAATTACTAAAATTTTAAAATGAACAGAAAATATAAAAACAAATGCAAAATATTAATAAAAACTATACATTGGGTCTCATTAAACTAAAAAAATAATAACACATTTTTGTTAATTGAAATACAGCTGAATTAAAATAAAAAGGGAATACGTTCGAGTGAAAACACTAAATCACTAACTGTAAATAAATAAATAAAAATGAAACCTAAACGGTTATATACAAAAAAGTAATAAAAAAAGCACATAACAAAATTATCAAAACTTAAACTGTCAATTAGCACAGAAAATTATTTCCACTCACTCCTAAGTGTTTTCAGAAGCTTTACTAGGTCATGACAGGAGTCATTTT